TTTGATAAAGCCCATGGTTTACAATTTTGAAATCATATAGTTAATTAATTGTTGATAAAAATGTCAATATTGTTTATGTAGGCAGAAGCTGGAAAAGGAATGTGTATGGGGCCAAGTCATACATAATAAAAGCAAAACTAAAACATGCTTGGTAGATCACTAGAATTAACTGGGATATTAACTAATTCTAGTGAACTTAAAGAAGAGAAGTTCAAAAGCTCAGCTTCATATGTTTGAAGCATTATATAGGAGTTCCTTTTCTGTTAAGCCTGCAGATTAAGCCATATGTGTTGAAGCAGGCCTTTCTGATTTTACTCTACAAGCATCTGTAAGATCATGTCCCTGACCATCTGAAGTAGCCTGGCCACATTGGTGAATGTCTGGTGTGGCAGCAGCTGAGTGTGTATGTGGAGAAGGCAAATACTCTTAATACATATGGATTCATTATACGCTATTCAACATTGATTAAAAACCAGCATGGCCTACCAAACACTTTTCACTACTTTATACAATTCTGCAGGATTTGGGAGATAAAATTAAGAGTTCTGATGACTAGTGTAAAATGAAAGCAGTAAGTTTTCTATGCTGTGTGTAAACCAGCTGATCCATTTCTCTTATTGCTAGAAGTTTTTCTGAGATAGGAACCTTCACAATTTTAATATTCTTCTTAAACTTAGTTTCCAGCAAGTTTAATGAATAATTGGGCTCTAGCAATGTGAAGTATTGCTAGTGATTGTAGTACTTTTATCAACTTACTGTGTGATTGTATGTTGGGGCAGTGCAGTCCTATGGGGGAGGAAAAGAATGAAACCATAGGCTTTTTCTTATACTTCTGGTTTTTATTCTTTTTTATAGCTGTTTGTTTGGGTTTTTTTCTTCCCCTCCCATTGCTATGTCCCTTCCACTGGGAGGGAAATTAACTATCAGCTTAAGGACTAGTGATATTTTTCTATTTGGCTGGTGTGTTGGTGGAGTTGAAATTGTAAAGTTGGAGTAAAAGAAAGTCTTTGGATCCTGCAGATCTACAGCCTTTCCTGGCTTGCCTCTCTGTTGTCCTCTTTGATAAGCTGTGGCCATGGAATTTTCCTCAGGCGGGAACTTTTGAAATTGCTCTTTGAGGTTACTCAGGGAGAGGAAAATCCCAAACATTCAATGACTCTTTGGACATCCACCTAGACCAGCACGTGTGCTGCAGCGGGCACGCAGAGCCCTCTCTGTTGGCACATGAGCCAAGTCGCCCCAGCTGCTGAACATCGGATAACAGCGCACACAGGGGCCATGCACATGCTTGGAAAGGAGTAGCAGCACCAGGTGATGACGTCATGAGCTGTGACTCATTAGCTGCAATTCGTCCGAGCTTTCTCATGGCCGGTCAGTGCACTTGGATTGGCCGTGATTTTTAATACATTTGTTTTTATTAACACAAGATTTTAGCTTTGAGTTTTCTTATGAAAAATTGAAATTTAATATCTAAGGTTTAGCAAAGAGATGTTCTAATTAAGAGACTGAGATTCTTTTACTGTTGTGCTGTCCCCTTGGCAAATTTGAATCGGCAGCATCATATTTAGTTGTTTGTGAATAATTTATGAAAACAAGAGCAAGTGTGTCTGTGTGTGTGTGTGTATATGTATATATATATTTGGTTGGACTGGCTGTGATTTTAGCAGAAGCCCCCACAAGGTAGGAAATGCACTCAAATGCCTTTTCCAGAGCAAGTCAAAAGCTGGTGTTCATTGGAACATTGCCCCTTGCGCTGGTGGTCAGCAAATTCAAGAGGAACCCCAACTGAGAATCACTGTGATAGATTGTTGATTCAGGGATATCCAATTCTTTAGTGTTAACTAATAGTGTTAACTATTATATTTTATATATATATATGTGTGTGTATATATATATATATATATATAAATCTATTATAATATATATATATATATATATATATATATATAATAGTGTTGACTATTAGTATATACAGTAGAGGTGACAAATAGATTTAAGGAATTAGATCTGATAGAGTGCCTGAAGAACTATGGACAGAGGTTTGCAACACTGTACAAGAGGTAGCAACTAAAATCATCCCAAAGAAAAAGAAATGCAAGAAAGCAAAATGACTGACTGAAGAAGCTTTACAAATAGCTGAGGAAAGAAGGGAAGCGAAAGGCAAGGGCGAAAAAGAAAGATACACCCAGTTGAATGCAGAATTCCAGAGAATAACTTGAAGAGATAAGAATGCCTTCTTAAATGAACAGTGCAAAGAAATAGAAGAAAACAATAGAATAGGGAGGACCAGAGATCTCTTCAAGAAAATTGGAGATATGAATGGAACATTTCATGCAAAGATGGGCATGATAAAGGACCAAACTGGCAGGGACCTAACAGAGGCAGAAGAGATTAAGAAGAGATGGCAAGATTACACAGAAGAACTATACAAGAAAGAGCTTAACGTCCCTGATAACCACGATGGGGTGGTCACTGACCTCGAGCCAGACATCCTGGAATGTGAAGTGAAATGGGCCTTTGGAAGTCTGAGCAACAACAAAGCTAGTGGAGGTGACAGAATTCCAGCTGAGCTATTCAAATTCTTAAAAGACAATGCACAGTAAAAGTGCTACACTCAATATGCCAGCAAATTTGGAAAACTCAACAGTGGCCATAGGATTGGAAAAGGTCAGTTTACATTCCGATCCCAAAGAAGGGTAATGCCAAGGATTGTTCAAACTACCGCACCATTGCACTCATTTCACATGCTTGCAAAGTTATGCTCAGTATCCTACAAGCTAGACTCCAGCAGTATGTGGACCGAGAACTAGCAGAAGTACTGGCAGGATTTCGAAGTGGTTTTTTCCCACTTTCCCCTCTTTCTTTATATTTTTGTTATTGATCAGTTTTTGAATTTGTATTGTTGTATTTTACTGTTGTATGTTGTAACATACGCTGGATCATGGAGAAAGCTAGGGAGTTCCAGAAAAACATCTACTTCTGCTTCATTGACTATGCTAAAGCCTTTGATTGTGTGGATCACAACAAACTGTGGCAAGTTCTGAAAGAGATGGGAGTACCAGACCATCTTATTTGTTTCTTGAGAAACCTATATGTGGGTCAAGAAGCAACAGTGAGAACTGGGCACGGAACCACTGATTGGTTCAAAATTGAGAAAGGAGTTTGGCAAGGCTGTATACTGTCTCCCTGCCTATTTAACTTATATGCAGAGCACATCATGAGAAAAGTGGACCTAGATGAATCACCAGTTGGTATTAAGGTTGCTGGGAGAAATATCAACAACCTCAGATATGCAGATGATACCACTCTCATGGC